ATGAAACTTCGCACTCTCTGGATGCTCTCCATTCCTTGTCTAAGAAAGTTCTAAACCCAAGGAAACTAGTTTTGAATAAGGGGTCATTTTTACCTCACTCTATGTGTGTTAGTAATGAAGCCTTCTGACGTGCTGCGTACATGGAGGTTGAACATGACGTTATCCCTCTTCAGAACATCGTGTGATCTTCTCACACTGAAGCGGGCAGTGTGACAGTCTCAATGGACTTTGGAGAAAGAAAAGAAGATAGATAGATGTAGTGCCCATGCACAGGAGGACGACATAGGTGATACACTATTATAAACTGTCCTTTATAGTGGTCACCAGTTTAGCACACAGTATAGTTTTATTGCTTGATTATGACACTGTGATTATGACTCTGTGTCTGTGGCAAGGAGAGATGAACTCTATGACCTGACAAACAGTGCAATATAAGGGACATAGAAAGTAGCTGGGGAGATTGGGGGGGGGGGAGGAAGAGAGAGCCAAAAGGCATGAAAATATACAGTAAGTTGAGCGGTTTTAGATTGAGTCTGAGGATAGAGAGACTTCCTGTTTAGGTTCATCTTTGAGTCACCTCAAATCACCTGATGAGTGCTACCTATGATCTACGACAGGTCTCTCCTGTTCTGGTTAACACCTGATTATATCTCTAAACTTCACAGTAAGTTAACACAATGGAATGACCTCACAAAAATCAGCTTTACACACCAAGCAGGACTCTGGTGACAAATTTCAGCCAATCAGTTTTCTGATTTTTCTTAAAAGTATCCGCGCCCTCTTCACATTTTGTATATAGAAAGCAGGCTGAGGTATCTTTGAAATAACAGTACACGACAGGACACTTTGAATATTCTACTCATAGAAAAGTAAAAAATATTTAGCATCACAGTAATTGATCCTAAGGGAGGTGCTGTTTTGTTATATTTTAATATATGTCAAATTATTTGTCATTATGGGCCTCGGAAATCTAATTTTGTCCACGAAACAACCATATTGGATGTCATTCCTGGTTATATACTTATATAATAGATGCATCTCAAGTCAGCAATGTGTAAGTAACTTGCACACGAGAGCAAAGCTAAGCTTAAAGTTACACCATGCTTGGATTCATGATCTAATATATTCATGCATGGTGAAGAGTAGGCAAGCAAAGCTATTTCTGGACCTATTGTTCCCAGCATTCACTGTGGTAGAAGGGATATTAATTACAGATCCTGATAAAGATAGAGAAGCTAGTGAGGGCATACTATACAGTCTTGATAGCAGTCTTCTCAACTGTGCATGGACTCTGTATCAAGAGATTTGTAACAGGGTTACACCAACAAGGAGTTGGTAATTAGCGTTTGCTGGTGAATTATGTGCTATAATGATATGGGTCCTTTTTCCCTTGAGGACAGATATTAACCCAAAAATATAATATATCATCAAGAGTATGTTAAGAGTGATATTATTCATGCAATTCTAATCATTACTTGTCCCTAGAAAGTTGAACATGGCTGCATTATTTAGGCATAAATAAGCAAGCACAATGCTGACTAAAAACTTGACTGAAATCAAGTTGTTCTGTTATATAGTATAGCGGCTCAGAACTGGGTATTTAATGCCAGATTAACACAGAGCAGCTCTGCATTAATGGGGACTTTTTTCTTGGCCCCAGGTAGTGAAGCTGGTGTCAGTTTTGTCATTGTCTCCTCTCCATTCACTGTAGCTGTAACATGGATAAGGACAAGTTCTTCAGTTTGTTCAGGGTGAGAAGATCTTAGTGATTAGAGTGCTTGTCCACAAACTAGTTTTCCATGTCAGAGTATTTAGATGCACCAGAGGATTTTCACATTTATTCAGAGAAATTGTGCAGATTTGCAAATCTATTCCATTAGATAACCAGCATTAGAAGCCATTTCCATGTGTCAGACAATCACTTTGTCAGTTGTCTAGTAAGATTAGCAACAACGAGGACATATTTATTATAAATGAGGGGTTTGTCTGATATCAGGTTGATGTTGTTCTAGTTTTGCTATTTTGGAACCATGTTTGTAGACTTCAATTTTATTTTATTGTTCTTATTTTGTCTCAGATCTATCTCCTTCCTAGATTGTGACATATTGTCAAAAACATTTTTTTAGGAAAGGTGAATTATTTCTAAAAATTAGTTAATTTTAAATTTTAGAAAATGTTGGTGTAATTCTGAATCCCATTAACTCTGGATTCTATTTGTTATTATGAGTCACAGCCTAGGATAGGTGAATTTCCTGCTTTCTGCCCAATGTATTTGTTATATTACATCACAGGCACTGTACTATATACATGTGGAGACAGGTGCTCCCACAGTATTTCATCTAGACTGTAAAAATAAACATGTACCAACTGGAATCACTTTTGCACAATATTCTTATTAAAACAAAGTAAATGTAGATATTTTACTTTTTCCATTTGCCCAAATATATTATTATTTTTATTTAACCAAAATGAAATTTTTTAAGCATGTGGTAAAATTTTTCTATGCTGAGTTAGGGCTAGTAGATGTGTATCCAAAGATGAGTTGCCATGGAGATACATTCTAGATATACCGTACTAGTACAAATTTACCTGAATTTAGAGGTAGAAAAAATGACATGTTCAAGACCATCCCAAAATAGTAGCTATAGATTATGAGAGACACAGACCTTTCTAATGTGAAATTAGATACTTTCTAGAAATTTTAATGAGAATAGCTCTCACGTCATTTAATTGGTATCCCTTTGAAGATCCAGTAATTAAAATAGACTGCTTTATTATATGTGATTTATGGCAGTTTTATGTGTCTGTTTTTAGCGGTTGGATTGAAAGGGAAATGTCTGGTATTTCAGGTGTGGCTGGTGTATAATTGGTCATAAATTACACCTGGTTATCTGGTATTTGGTAACCAGCTAGTACTACTGTTATTTCAATATCATAGACTGGGAGTGTGCAGGATGTTTGAGGAGGGGGGGGGAGGTAGTACAACTTATTTCAGTATTATAGACTGGGAGATTGAAAGATGTTTTTGGAGAGGGGGGGGAGGGTTAAAAACATCGTAAAGAGCATGTCTGACCAATAATTTGCATTGGTGTTACATAGTTATTGCATTTTATATGGTATGTTATCAACCAGTCTGGTATCAGCCAGTTTAACTGCTAGTACAGCTCATGGCTTTAAACCGGTGGTCTACAATCTAGTAACAAAGCTAAGAAAATTCTCTCCTGGTCTCCAAGTTCTGTATCAGACTGTAACTTGTCCAAAATCGCCTGTCAGTTTAGAAGTACAGGCAAAATATTTATGTTCAGAGGGACTGGAGAAATGAAATGAAGAGTGAATGGGGGAAGAAAAACCCACACACATGTTGATGGAAGCATACTTGACATAGTTTGAAGTTGAAACTCAGTTATTCAGTGGTGGTTAAAAGTTTGGTGGTGTTTTTATGAATGACTAACCTTCTTTATTGCCTTCACAGGCCTAGTATCGTGACGGTTATGCCATTGAGCATGCAAGTGATTATTCCACAAGTATTTAATCACCACAATGCACCGTTGTGATGTGGGACAATTTAAGTCATTAAAGCGTATCGTTTTCAACAGCTCTCCAAAGACTGCGTCATAATGTTAATAATAATAAAAATATGCATAGTTTTCAAGGTGTGCCTTTTATACAGAGTGGTTAGTAGCACAAAATAACATTGAGAGGAAATATTTGAAAGTTTTTTGACTGGAAGTGAGTTACATTGTTGCAATAAGCCGGTTTTAGTTCTGAACCTTCTCGTGTAAAACGCTAAAGCAGTGAAGCTTTGCTAAGAGAACCTCAGACTGAACTGCTTTGATCACGTTCTGAACTGAGTCGACTTCAACCAGCAATGTTCCAATTTTTGTTTCACACATAAATTTTTGTGAAGTGTAATATTTTACCACCAAAAGTGAAAGAAGCATTGATGAGTCACTTCTAAAATCAGGTTCGTGATTGGACAAAGGTGACAACTCTGAGCAGAATGAGAATGGAGATCGGGATATGGAAAACCACCTAAAAAGAGAAACTGTACTAAATAAATACTTATTGAATACCAGTGTCACAGAATAGTTTGAATTCCCATAGGAGGCAGATTTAAATAAGCGATACGGTAATGTCAAAAAGACTAAAATTGGGACCCGAGTTGATTCTGATATGAATAGTTGTACTGGGTGTGTAAACCAGTAGAGTAGACCTACCAGTATCAGACTGGAGAGAGGTACGTTATCAACCAGTGTGGTATCAGCCAGTTTTACTGCTAGTCCGCCAGTCTGTCTTGTGTGTACACAGGTGGAGAGAGGCTGTAATAGCTCTGTCTACACACCTGAGTGCGAGTGAGTGAACCCCAGTTTAACAGGGACAGATTAACAGGTAAAATTGGTGGAAACTACTCATGGTTGTAAAGTCATATGGTTGAAACTACTCATGGTCAGGTTGTTTGGGTTTCACTGGTCATTTTAGGACTATGCTGATTCCATAATCTCTGTTGAAGGTCATACAGTTCCGCATGTTGTATAGGTATCTAAACAAGACCTGCAGATTGAGCATTATCAACCAATCAGCCCTGTGGCTAGCAGGTCTAAGGGACTGATAGTGTGGGTGGTTTATTTGGGTGACTGAGGCAGATTATTGTGTGTACTAGCAGGATGGGTGGCAGAGTACACACAAAGGCTTGACTTCCTCATTAGTGACTGGTGTTAATACCAGTGGTTAGGTAGAGTGTAGTACAGGTGGAAAACAGGAGGATAGACACTTAGATTCACCTGGAGCTAGTATTTCACATCATTTTGACCTTATTATCTCCTTGGTCAAGTAAGTTTGTGTTTTGATAAGTGCAGTTGAGATATTGTGTTATTTTGGAACATAAAGAAAATGAAACCAAATTAAGATTTTTGAAGTTAAGATCAAATCTCATATGAGATGTGACAAAACTTGTTTTACTATTTACACATTTAACCTTGTGTATTTTTTCTTTTCTCCAGATACACAGATGAAGTAGGTCTGCGAGAATGACCCCTGGTGTACAGCCGCAGAGGCCAGGGTGGGGCTACCAGCTCCCCCTGGGGGTCACCCTGGGAACTTACCTGCTTTGCTTACTTATACAAGTGACTTCAGCCAAGCTAAGCTACACCCCTATGACCAGGGATAGATTCCATTTCACACAACCTGTATATAATGTGACGATCCCAGAGGGAGCCACGGGGAAGACGTATGCCATCCCTCAAACAAAAATGGGAATTTGGGTTAGCGACCCAGATGTTAAAATCCGATATAAAATAACTGCTGGGGATCCAGAGAATCTTTTTAAAGCAGAATCAAAACTCATTGGTGATTTTAGTTTTCTCAATATTAAAATGCGGACAGGGAGTGACACAATGTTGAACCGTGAGGTCAAAAGTGAATACACCCTCCAGATAAAAGCCAAAACAAAGACCAAGGATGAGCGACGTTTTGATGCTATAGCAACAGTCAGAATTAAAGTGGAGGACAAGAACGAATTACAACCATTTTTTTACCCAAGAACATATAATGTAAATGTGGATGAAGACACTCCTCTACATCAAAGTTTGCTTGCGGTCTCTGCGTCGGATGCTGACGAGGGGATGAATGGTGAGGTGTACTACAGCTTTGTGCAGTCTACCGAAATGTTTGCTGTTCACCCATCAACTGGAGTTATCACGCTTACACAACCCTTGAATTTGGAGGAGCAGGAAACCTATGAGTTGGATGTTACTGCTAAAGATCGTGGAATTGGAACTAAAACTGGAGCAGACACGGCTAAAGTGACCATCAAAGTGATCAAAGTCAACCTGCATGCTCCGGAAATCAAACTTCTGCCTCATTCTTCTGTGTATGAGCACGGCAGTGTGGGAACAGTGTACGCCATTTTGAGCATATCAGATCCTGATAAGGGTCGAAATGGGCAGGTTGATACTGTGAAAATTATAGATGGAGACACTGATGGTTATTTCACCATCCATCAGCGGAGGAAGACTGGCGAGTTCACCATTGAGGTTGCCCAGTCACTAGATCGGGAGCTAATGCCTGGAGGATACAATCTTACTGTCATAGCGAGAGATCGAGGAGTTCCGCCTAAGACTTCTGCAGTGAGCATTCCAATTGAGATATTAGACTTAAATGACCAATCACCTCAGTTTCGTGACAGTTACAAGATTTCAGTTGAAGAGATAGTCCCACCAAACACGCCTTTAGTGTTCGTTAGTGCCTTTGATAGGGATATCGGCCTTAATGCTAGGTTAAGGTACAGCATTACCAAGGGAAATGACCTTGGCTGGTTTAAAATTAATACCACAAGTGGACTTATTAGCACTGCAGAATGGCTCGATGCTGAAACAACACAGAACATCGTATTAACTGTGCTTGCAGCTGATTCTGGTAATCGAGGAACAAGACGTAAAGGAAAAACATTGGTCACAGTGAAGATAGTGGACAGCAATGATAATTCTCCTGAGTTCAAAACATCAGTTGTGGAAGATATTGAGATTGATGAAAACCAACCAATAGGAACCTTTGTTACTAAAGTTGAAGCTGTAGATTTGGATTCAGGAGAAAATGGCTATGTTAGTTACAGCATCGCCAATGTGCAGCAGGTGCCCTTCAAGATCAACCATTTCTCTGGAGAAATCACAACCACTGAGAGCTTGGATTATGAGACCATGAAAAGGACTTACAAACTGAGAGTACGCACCTCAGACTGGGGGTTGCCATACCGACGAGAAACAGAGACAGTCTTTACAGTCAAGCTTCGTCCTTTGAATGATAACAAACCAGTGTTTGAGGAGGTTGAATGTGCCGGCTATTTGTCCAGAGAAACACCTCTTCGGGCAGACATAGTGACTGTATCAGCCTTGGATTTGGACATTGGAAATATTATCACATATCAGCTGGTCAAGGGAAACGAAGACCAGTGTTTTGACTTGAGTGCTAGCACAGGGAAGTTGATACTCACTTGCGATCTCAGCTCCGTATCTTGGGAGAGGCGTGTGCTTGTGATTAGGTCCTTCGACCAGACCAACTACTCTGACAATATGACAATCACCTTGGATCTAGTGAACAGCAACAGTAATGGCCGTCTTGTCAACGATCAGAAAGTCCACTGCAAGGCCACTGGTATCACCCAGCTCATGAGCGAAGCTGTGAAAACCTCCGAGGATGTGAACAAAAATGAGGACGTGGTTGATAAAATGGAGGAGATGGTTCAGCACCAGTTTAAAAATCGCTATGCCCCAACCTTTGACCTCGTTAGTGGCATCAAGACCATAGATGAAGGCCAGCCTGTTGGCTTTTCTGCTTTTGGTGTGCATGCTTCAGATGATGATTCTGGTTACAATGGGGAAGTGGTCTATGTAATCGCCAGTGGTAACGAGGATGGTGCTTTCAAAGTGGATACAAAAACTGGGAAGATTGTCGTCATGTCAGATGTGGACCGTGAGCGCCAGTACCAATACAAGCTGAACATCACAGCCTATGACTTGGGTCAGCCCCGCCACTCTGCCTCAGTGGTTGTCACAGTGTACGTAAACGATGTCAATGACTACGCCCCATCTTTTAAAAATGCACCGTATTTTGCGACTGTTTCAGAGAGTGAGAAAGCAGGCACCACTGTGTTACAGGTATCCACTGAGGATATGGATTCAGGATCCAATGCAGAGGTCAGCTACTTCCTCCAGTCCAATACGGACCTTTTCCACATCAACAATGTCACTGGCGTGATCACAACCAAAATGCAGTTGGACCGCGAGGTACGACCTCAGTACGTACTGGACATAATGGCCAAAGACCATGGCAAGCAGAAACAGTTGTCATCGTTTACAACTGTCACTGTGAATGTTGGCGACATCAATGATGAACCTCCCAAATTTGAGCCGGAGGTCTACCGCATGCGTGTCCGTGAAGACTTACCAGTGGGGAGCACTATTCTCACCATCACTGCTCGTGACCCTGACCTTGGCCAGGGAGGAATTGTGCGATACAATTTAATTGGCGGTTCGGATGACAAATTTGCCATTGATCGCCTCACTGGCACCATACGGATAGCCAATTCATTAGACTATGAACGTAAGCAGCTGTACAACATCACTGCACGTGCAAGGGATCGTGGTGACAACTCTCTTACATCGACATGCACCGTTCTGATAGAGGTGATTGATGTCAACGAGAACTTGTATCCACCTAAATTCAGGGATTTCTTCATGGTCACAGTGGGTAAGGTGAAAGAGAACGAGGCAGTAGGAACCAAGGTCATTCAGGTCATTGCCCATGATGATGATGACTCCCCTGAAGACAGCGCTATCATCTACTCTATCAGAGAAGGCAGCGGATTGGGCCGCTTCACAATAGAGCAAGATGGTAAGTCTAGCCTCATGATCATAGTGATGTCTGATTGATGAAGATTTACTGAATGATTGGCCTTTCTGTTAAAAAATTCTTCATCCTTGCTCGTTGCACCACTGAAATATCTTGACTCCCATTCCCATAAGTCCTTCTAGGGGTCTTACCCACCCCCAACCCTAACTTATCCCCATTCCCAAATCACCCAGTTATATTTATTTAAATCTTACCTGCACCACACTTGACATTTCACTTAGTGTAACTTTCTAAGCATACTTTGTCAGTATTTTCTGTGCAGATGGCAAAAGAGATGAAATGGATGAACATTGGTCTTGCATGAATAGGAGGAAAGATATATTTGTGTTTTGGAGAGATGGTGGTGGCAGTGCTACCAGTCCTAGGCTTAGATAATTATGTTGAGATTTCATTGAAGTCGACCTTCTCTCACAATTAGAGGTACACCAGTGGTTAGTATCATCTATAAATAATTACTGCTTTGATACCAGAATTTTCCCCAAGTAATCATAAGCTCTTATTTCCCTCAGGATATCTCAGAAAGTATAACTCATATTTATACAGGATAGAATCTATGGAAAGGTAAAAATAAGAGGGAAACCCGTGTGTTATATTTCACATGTTAGAGTGAAACACCCCATTTCCATAGGTTAGATCGACCTACTTTAGATCGACCTAACTCCCTGGGGGTTCACGCTAAATAGCTGTCAGCCGGGCGGACACGAAAGTTAATTACCTCTTACAGCTTGTAGTAGGCGGGGACGGACACTTAAGGGGGATTATCTGACANTGACATCAATGATGAACCTCCCAAATTTGAGCCCGAGGTCTACCGCATGCGTGTCCGTGAAGACTTGCCGGTGGGGAGCACTATTCTCACCATTACTGCTCGTGACCCTGACCTTGGCCAGGGAGGAATAGTGCGATACAATCTAATTGGTGGTTCGGATGACAAATTTGCCATTGATCGCCTCACTGGCACCATACGGATAGCCAATTCATTAGACTATGAACGCAAGCAGCTGTACAACATAACTGCACGTGCAAGGGATCGTGGTGACAACTCTCTTACATCGACATGCACTGTTCTGATAGAGGTGATTGATGTCAACGAGAACTTATATCCACCTAAATTCAGGGATTTCTTCATGGTCACAGTGGGTAAGGTGAAAGAGAACGAGGCAGTAGGAACCAAGGTCATTCAGGTCATTGCCCATGATGATGACGACTCTCCTGAAGACAGTGCTATCATCTACTCTATCAGAGAAGGCAGTGGATTGGGCCGCTTCACTATAGAGCAAGATGGTAAGTCTAGCCTCATGATCATAGTGATGTCTGATTGATGAAGATTTACTGAATGATCGGCCTTTTTGTTAAAAAATTCTTCATCCTTATTTATTGCACCACTGAAATATCTTAACTCCCGTTCCCATAGGTCTTCCTATGGGTCTTACCCACCCCCTACCCCAACTCACCCCCATCCCCAAATCACCCAGTTATATTTATTTAAATCTTACCTGCACCACACTTGACAAACATTTCACTTATTGTAACTTTCTAAGCAAACTTTGTCAGTATTTTCTGTGCAGATGGCAAAAGAGATGAAATGGATGAACATTGGTCTAGCATGAATAGAAGGAAAGACATATTTGTGTTTTGGAGAGATGGTGGTGGCAGTGCTACCAGTCCCAGGCTTAGATAATTATGTTGAAATTTCATTGAAGTCGACCTTCTCTCGCAATTAGAGGTACACCAGTGGTTAGGATCAGCTATACATAATTACTGCTTTGATACCAGAATTTTCCCCAAGTAATCATAAGCTCTTATTTCCCTCAGGATATCTCAGAAAGTATAACTCATATTTATACAGGATAGAATCTATGGAAAGGTAAAAATAAGAGGGAAACCCGTGTGTTATATTTCACATGTTGGAGTGAAAGAGGGGGTATTTACACAGGGAGAAGTACTACACCCCTCCAGGCGTTCTTGTCTTTATAAAGTTGGACCCCAAAGCTTCAATTTGATTTCCTTATTCAGATATGGGCGTCCTTACTTCATTTTGGACAACTGCATTTGTCAGAACATATTATTCTCCTCAAGAAGTCAACAGGAAATGAGTGATTGCTACTGATAGGTAGATTGTGTGCATAACAGACATCAAACCCAGGTATCAGGTTTTGACACTTTGAAAATTTGTAATATCAATATTTTCATCGCATAAGCGGAAATATTAAAGGTGCGCTGATATCAGGCCGGTTAGGGTATCAGATAACATTACAAAAACACACATGACTTAATCTTGCATTGCAAACAACTGCTAAATTGTAAAGTCTGAAGGTGTGTAGGGTTACCTCTTGTGTCTTAGGGGTGGGGCTGAATGGAAGGGTTGTTTTCACAGTAAATAGTGGCAGGGTTTGAGGGACCGGAAGCTTAGTCGAAAAACACCGCCGGTGAGTCACCCCCTATGTCAATGTCTCCCTACAATGGCCGTCTGCCATGCAAACATGTCGAAAAACTAGTAAACAGTTTCAAATAAAATGAGCCGACTGGGGCCCACAATTAACTTTCCCCATGCGATGCAGGAACTGTAATGGATCTGCCTGGCACTGGTGATTATTGAAAAGAAAAAGTTATAATAGACCATATAAAGATTCATTAACACCTGCATGGTACTACTTTTAACCGCAGCTTCCGTTCTTTTAACCCAGCCTTTGTCCGCCTTACTCTTAACATCCCTCCCCAAACCATTCACAAAATTCATTCACAAAGATTTAAAATAAAATCTGTCCGTCTGTCCTGTTTATGGGGCCTTTATTATAATGCTAACAAGTAACAATATATGCGTTTGCAATAAAGCGGCCATTGCTGCTGTCAGTCAGCTGTACACAAAGATGGAGAGTCAAAGGTAAACTGTGCAGAATGGCAGCTTTGTGTTTGCTCAAAAGTTGGTATAATTTTCCATGCTGTACACGGGGCGCCCCATCCCCCTATGACCTTCGTGTTCACCAGATACTGTGACTGAATACCATCATCATGATACCCCTCTAAACAGCCAATGATATCTCATCAACAACATCAGGTTCATTCACCTCACAAAGGAAATGTCTTTAATGAGTTTACTAGTATATGTATCACATTCATAAAAAAAGGTTCTTTGACAAAATTGAAAGGTCTTGAAATTGTATTAAAAGTTGTACTCATTAGAGGGTAAAAGAGAAACAAAATCAGACGGAATAAAGCCACGTCAGGTGGTTTGAGGATGGCTTTTACTTGGCTCATGTTTTGAGATCCGCTCCACTGCAATGATGTCATCGATAATTTTCTTATCAATAGATGCCTTCAAAGTTTTGTAACACTGTCCACCCCTGGCTGTGCCCCGTGTACACCCCCTGACATAGGGACCTGGAGACCTCTTTTAGCTCCACCTGTCCATGATAATCCACCACTGTCCACACATTGTGAGTGACCACAGAGCTCTGCTGTGACGGCTGGCAGACTTATGCAACTGTGGGTCCCCGTGTATTGTGAACACAGTGCCATTACAGAGAGCCCTGTTGTTTTGGTATGCTAGAGGGAGTGGGAGATATGCCATTGCCGTTGGGGTTGACCCTGGAGGCAGGGTGAAAACTGAGGGCAAAGGTGCAATGTTTTATTGTAATGAAAGGAGAATTATGCTTGTGCACTATTGAAATATTTTCTTTTCTGTGTAGAATTCCATTTTTGTTCCTGACTAAATGTCAGTTTCTGTGTTTGAGTAATGCAGCCAGAAGTTGTATAACCTTAGATGGTCTTGACACATACAGTGAGCAGGTGGTATCAAATGCAATGGACAGATTTCCATGTGCCTCTAGCAAAGAAGTTTATGGAATGATCTTGACCTGACTTAATATCTCACAAGACAATAGAACCAATTTGTCTGGCTTGCTATTTGCACAGCCAGGCTAGACGTATTTGCTGCATTATTTTCCCAGAGTCCCAGTTTGATTTCCTAGGAATAATCCCTGGTATTGTAGCCCTTGATTTCTTCTGCAAATTCTCCCATTGTACTGGTAATAGGCTGATCTCCCTCGGGCTAAAGGACAAATCAATAGTAATGGTTAATTACTACTACAATGAAGCTTAGATTTTATAGGAAGCTGCCTAAGAACAGCTGGGGAGTATTGGAAATGGAAAGGATTTTCTGACTTTACACACCTTCGGGGATGATTTAAATTGCATCTATAAGACTTGGTGGCATGTTATGAAGTTCATGTTAGGATTAGAACAGTGTAGAAGATATATTTATGATATGAAATATAAGACCCCATTCCCAGAGATTAGATCGTTCCAACTAGATCGACCTAACTCCCTGGGGGTTCACGCTAAATGGCTGTCAGCCAAGCAGGTACGAAAGTTAATTACCCCCTTACAGCATTTAAGCCGGATTATCTGACAGCAATCTAGTGAGACTCCCCACGGGGATAGATCGATCTAAAATCTATGGGAATGCGCCCTAAGAGAGATAGGTTGAAAGACTGACTGACTGTCAGACAGTAAGCCGAAAGAAACGATTGCGAGGGAAGAAATAACTGCATGCATCGCATTTTCAGTACAAAGCTCTTTAAAGGGCAAAGGTTCCGTGGTTGCCCTTAGAAGAATCAACATGTGAGACGGAAGGTCTCCCCCTGAAGATCTCAAACATTCTTTGATGTTGTGAAAATATACACAGTGTCTTCCATCTGTGACAGGACTTAGCAGATGTTACATATATCTGAAAACAGTCTGTCAGTGGGGCTTGTTGTTATACCTTGTAATGTCACAGGAGGAATGAAAGTAGACTAAATTATCTCTGCTAACCACTGGTTGACTTTCGTTGTTGCATGATATCCCTTCTACTTAAGTTTTTATCATTTGCAAATTTTGAGATTGTTACTGGGCATTTGAGTAAAGCATTTCCAAGAATTATTTGCTTGTTTTGTAATTTCATTACAGTGGCTTCCCAACATTTATCACAGGTGTTACCATTTCTTGGGTAATCATAAAAAGGCCAAGGTTAGGGGAAGGAACGTAGATAATGAGTACTTCCATTACTGAACTGTATATGGGAGCCAGAGATTTGATTATACACATAAGGCAGAAGAAATGACCAGATTTGTCATATGTCTTTATAAGGAAATGTATTTCTTTAGTACCCTCTAACCTAAAAGGTTGTTGACCTGAAACTGAGATTAGAGAAGCCCGTATCTGAAACTTGGACCTCCTGGTGAGAAATGTGAAGGACAGAATGGAGATGCTTTTGATGTCTGAATTTCAGAAATGTTGCAGTTTTCGTTGTAGATATTAAAGATAACAATATTCATGTATTTATGCCCTGTAATTTTGTACTTAGTTAGAAGCACTTTTGTAAAGACACATACAGAATAATTTTCCTTCATTTTCTGGTTTGTGTGTTCCCCCCCTCCTCCATTGTGCTCCATCTCTCAGCTTTTTGCCCTTGTGTTGCTACCTACAGAACAGAAGACTACCCTGGCAATATCTCATTGTGCTACAGTCTATTATGTACTTCTTTGCCATCCTAGTGAGTCATCAAACACGATGTCAAGGAGGATATAACAGACTCCACTACCTTGATGTGCTAAACCCTCGGCTTTGTATCATTTACTATCAATGATAAAACTTGTATTGGAGAGATAAGAGAGAAATAAATTTCTGGCTGTTTGAGTGTGGTTCACCTCTATTCTCATTTCTATTTCGTTCACACTTCCCAAAGGACAGTGACTCAGGTATGGGCCCTTTTCACTCAACATTTATTGAAGTGATCTTGGTCTGCTGAATTCACAAGTTATGTATAAAGGATATAGGTTGCATTATTAGTGGATGAATGCTGAGTTCACAACATGAAGTCAAACAGTCAACTCTCTCTCTCTCTCAGGTTTGCTATCTTCATCAGAAATTATAAGCCTTAAGTTGGGGGAAAGGAAAAACTAGTAAGATCCAGATACAGCTGTGATATGTGAACAGATCCAAAGTGTCCTAGTCATTAATGGATGACTCTGGAGTTGTCTCTGGTGTGATCACACCAATACATCATGTTTATTGACTGGGGAATCAAACTTGGAGTGGTACAGACTTTTCTAAGCTGTCACTTCTGAAGAGAAACAAAATCATCAGAGAAGACATATTGCCAATTTACCATGTTATAATTCCAGTAGGTTGGAACTCGGTGGCAGTAATTAGAATGCAGTGTGGGTGCTAGTGTTCTTGTGCCGCGTTGAATCATGGTGATGATGGTTTTATGGGTTGGCATTTCTTAACCAAATTAAGAA